AAGTAATTTCTATTTCATTCAATCATACAATTACGTAACAGATGTGAATGAAACCTATTTACTCGTTAGGTATTATATTAAATACATTTCAACCTTTTCGGAGGCGGCGCAAAATTAAAAGATTATTTTGAATATGTTATTTAATTTTTTTTCTAAAAATTATTTTATTCTAATATGAATTGAATACGCAATATTTCCTGTTTAAGATATTATTTATTTTGTTATATAAGAACCCTTTTACTCTGTTACCTTTCTCCATCTCTGAGGAAGCCTCATTATGCCCTCTATTCAAGATTGTTGTGTTTTGGATGAGAAACAATTCTTGAGACGCACTTTTATTTCGCTGATGGATTTAAAGCGCTTATCGTGAAGAAAATTTTTTAAGGATAACAATAGGTAGTAGTCTGATGGTGCAATACCTGAAGAATATGCCGGATGCGGTAAAACATCCCAATTAAATTTTAAGACCTTTTCTTTTACCGGTAATGCAATATGTCGTCTCGTTCAGTAAGTGCAGCACCCAAACATCGCAGCGATTAACATAAACCATCTTGGTTAGTTGATTATGTGTAGTTGTTTTGGTTATCCTAGTGACATTCAGTATCACCTGTATACTATATCTGGGATTTTCATCAAGCATGGCCTTGATAAGTTCGGCATCCGTCGTTTTTGGGCGACCGCTGCGGTCCTCATCTTCGAGATTAAAATTTCCCTCTTTAAATCGCTTAAACCAATTGCGAACGGTTGTAACAGTAATAGCACCATCCCCGTACACAGTACAAATTTCGTTAACAATATTTTTTACACTATCACCTTTTTTAAAACAATGCAGCATGACATACCGTAAATGTCGCCTTCCGCTGCCCATGTTTAAAAACGTGGTTGAAGGTTTTAAAAGATACTGTGGCATAAACGAAACGTACTGAAAAAGAGCTCTGGGATGACTGAAACCAATGATATAAACGTTTAATAGATGAGCCTGCATGTTTACACAAGGAGAGCCAGATGAAACCACTTATAGCGCGAAGAGAAGGAAACTTATGGGACACCCTAATACATATTCACAATAAAAAAGGTTTGGATTCATAAAATATTGACAAACCA